GATGGATCTGAGGAATGGGGATACGTCCGAGTCCGAGCCAGTAAGCAGAAATTAATTTCGTTTGATTTCCTCTAATTCCTCGAAGTATTATATTCATTCTGAAACTTGAATCGATTTTCAGTGAGCAGAAATTAATTYCGTTTGRTTTTCTCGAATTCCTCGAAGTGTCATATTCATTCTGAAACTTGAATCGATTTTCAGTGAGCAGAAATTAATTTCGTTTGATTTCCTCTAATTGCTCGAAGTATCATATTCATTCTGAAACCTGAATCGATTTTCAGTGAGCAGAAATTAATTTCGTTTGATTTTCTCTAATTCCTCGAAGTATTATATCCATTCTGAAATCTGAATCGATTTTTGTTTTTTTSTTCTGCAGAAGCTCATATGTTCTGGTGGCTTTACAGAAGTCCGTACAGAGTTCAGGATCCGTCGAAGCCATGGCCAATCATTCTCTGGTTGCAGGGTGGCCCCGTGAGCACGCTCAAACAAATCAAAAACTGCCCTATTTCTTCTTCTTCTTTTTTTTGTTATTTTCTGATTTTTTTTTGAATAATTTTCCTTTTTGTTTTTGCCGTTTTCCAATTGGGAGTTGGAATTCAGGGCGCTTCAGGAGTTGGAATTGGGAATTTTAATGAAGTGGGCCCACTGGACTCCTCACTCAAGCCCAGAAACTCAACTTGGCTGCACAAAGCTGACCTTTTATTTGTGGTAAAATCGAATCAATTCCCTTTTTCTGTTTTTGGCTTACCCCCAAATTTCCAAGATAAAAACAAGTTTTTAAAATGCATTTTTTTAGGCTCTTCTGATTTTTGTTTTTTAAAATTAGTTTTCAAATCTGATGCTTAATTTTGAAAAGATTGGAAATTAGGAATGAAAAATGAGTATCGTTTTTTTATAACCGTGTTTTGTTTGGCGAAGGATAATCCTGTGGGGACGGGGTACAGTTTCGTGGAGGACACGAGATTGCTTGTGAAATCGGATTTAGAAGCCGCGATTGATTTGACGACGCTGCTGCAGAGCATTTTCAACAGAGATGAGAGGCTTCAGAAGAGTCCRCTTTACATCGTGGCGGAATCGTACGGTGGAAAATATGCCGTCACGCTTGGACTGTCGGTCGTCAAAGCCATTGAAGCTGGGAGGTTGAAGCTTACACTTGGAGGTAGGTGATTTGGCTTTGACGCAGAAACTGGAACCGGCAGGTGAGCGAATTTTAACCTTCAATGTATCTCCTTTTGCAGGGGTGGCTTTGGGTGATAGTTGGATCTCCCCTCAAGACTACACGGTAATGATTTGTTTGGAAAAATGTCCCCTTTTCTTGAGCGTGTTGTCTATTTATTTAGTATAATATAATTTTTATAAAAAAGAAAAGAAATACTTCTCTACTTAATTTTTGTGAAATTCCATAGGTTTTCATGTCTATCAAATAAATGTTGATTGATTAGTGTTGAAGCAAACTAATTTAGTTTAATAYAACGTTGGTGGTTGTCCATTTAGTATTCCCACCTATTCATTTGTGTCTCTAGTCAATGGATTTATCATAACATGGACCGAAACCATGTGTGGTCAAGAATCTCGATCTTTTGAACTCTTAGCTACTCGAGCTGTTGATATTGGCCACTTAATCATTTAAGTGGAAAGATACAAAAATACTGTAATTTTAAGCTCGGACTATCCATTGATAAGTTTTATTACATAAATCTAACTTATAATTTAATAAAACATTTATTGGACGAGTGAATTTTCTATTTCTAAGAAAAACCATCCCAAAAGTTTGAGCAAAATTTGTGTGGTTTGACTTTGATTGTCATTGGGAAAACAAAAGTAGTGATTAAGCGATGATGGTTGATGATATTTTGGAGAGTGCAGTTCTCATGGGGTCCTCTTCTGAAAGATCTGTCGAGACTTGACGACAATGGGCTGCAGAGATCAAACAGGTCAGTGCTGAGGGTTTCCTTTCTTCCACTCCACATTCTAATTTCAACCAAACCAAAGCAGTGACGTAATAATATAATAATTTAGGGGAAAAACTATTTCAATTCGTGTGTTTAAATTACAGTATTGCCCAGAGGATTGAGGAGCAGATTCAGAGGGGTGAATTCGCGGCAGCCACGTCGTCGTGGAGTGAACTGGAAGATGTGATTAGCTCCAGCAGTAATGGTGTGGTATTATTGCACTTTCCCTGYCCCTTTTCCCTTTTCCTATAATTTATTATAATTTTCTGCACATGCTCCCATGTTAATAATGYAGTCTCCTCTATCCATTATAAATCTATGATTGGACTTAAATTATACCATCAATTCCTTGTTCGACCCCCTTTTTCAATAAAAAATATATAAATACTATTTTAATCTTTTAATTTTTTTTAATTTTAATTATTTTAGTCACGTAGTTTCAAGTTTTGGTTTCTATATTTTAAAAAATAACTATACGTAAAATTTTAACACAAATCTTCCTTAGCTTCAACAGTGTTCGAGATGAACCAATCTTAGTCAAGTCTGTTGAGTCCGTGTTTAATGTAACCTCTTCGGAGGATGGTCTGAAGTCTGTCCCGTTTATCATTCATGCGGCCCTGGAGGCCAGAGAGTCTGTAATCGTGAAGTGTTCCATGATCATTTTGGTTCCTACATTTTCATTTTCAACTCCAGTATTCCGCTACTATTTTTTTTAAATGTAATCATAAATTTATATTAAATAATTTCTATTGTTTTTAAAATTTTATAAATAAGGCCGGTACTTTTTTAAAATATAGGAAATGAAAGTTTAAGTACTGAAAGTCAAAATTACATAGATAACATAGTGTTTAAACAGGAAAATAAAGAATCTGTCATTTAGTTAAAATCCTAACATAATTGAATTGAACCTTAGGGAGAAACTTTATCACTTGATTTTGTTCTTTTTAATGGTTTACTTTTAAATTTATTAAATTAGTTTTGATTGAAAATTGATAGTGACATTAGTTATTTGAAATTACCAAATATTCGTATTTTTTATATTTCTCTTTTTATTTCTTCTCACTTTTAATATTGTAATGTTTTATTATAAATATTGTAACAAATAATAACATGCTTCATTAAAAAATGAACTGGTTTTCATTTATGTAAAGTTAATGATTCTTTCTGTTTCCTTTAATTTTTCTTTTTGATATCTTTAGGATTTCTACAATTTTTTGCTGGACTCGGGAGAGGATTCAGCATCGTCGGTAACAGCCATGGATATATCAAACGGCGTCGCTTCGATGAAAAGATATTCAAGATACCTCAGTTCATTGAGGCCCACGCTGGGAGGAGACGGTGTAAACTTATATGTTTTGATGAACGGTGATATAAGGAAGAAGCTAAAAATCATCCCAGATAATGTGACGTCGGTCCCTTTTCTTTTCTCTTTTAAAATATAAAATATAAATAACTCGTAGAAAGTTAAAAAAAAATAGTGAATTACAAATTACAGTATCGTATTTTGTATTTATTTACAGATGGGGAGGGCAGTCGGAATACGTTTTCCAAAGTCTTCAAGAAGACTTCATGAAGCCGAGGATTAATGAGGTAAAAAACATTATAGATTAAATTTCAGCCTCCAATATTAAAAAAAAAAACTTATGTTCTTAGCACACTTTTTATTATTATTATTATTATTTATTTATTTTTAATTTTAGGTCGATGAGTTGCTTGGTAAAGGAGTGGAGGTGACAATATACAATGGCCAGGTTAAAAAAAATTCCTTTCTCGGTTGTTTTATTTTTTAATTATTATTATAATTCTTTTTTTAAACCTAATTAAAATTAATAATTTAGAAAGTAATAACAAAAGTCAGATAGTTTCGTAGTATACATAATTTTGAAGCAAATCATGTGTACTAAACTAATCGTAGGTGTTAGTAAAATCACTAAAATTGTGTCTAATACACATAGTTATTAAAAATTGTGTCTAGAACACTAACACAACACAACTTACTAATCTTGTTTAAGAAACACAATTATGGACTTGATAAAAACTTGTTTAGCTTTGTCATTATTTTTTAAACAACATTATTTTAACCATTAATTTTCTGGGCATCCTTATCTTACAAGTATGTTTTTAGTATAAGTTTTGTTTAAATATTATTTTGRTCTTGTATTTTTGTTATTTGGTTCATTTTGATATGTACTCCCAAAACGTTAATTCTGGTACCTATACTTTTGATAAGCAACTATTTTAATTCATTTATTTTTATTTTTATCTTATTCATTTTAATCATAATTTTATCATGTCATTATGTCCACTAAACTTTTTAAAGTAAATAGATCCAAATTAACAGTAAAAAAGTACAATAACAAAAATAGTATTTAAAAAAATAAATTATTTTTTTAAAAGTGAAAGGGATTTGACATAGAAGAGATATTCTATTCCTTTTAAATACTTGAATGGAGTCTTTGGGAGCACTTAAATATTTCATTTTGAGCTTTTTTTTTTCCCTCCTAATTTTGGAAAATTATTATCTAAAAGTATATAATTTGTTTTTATTCACAGGTGGACCTCATATGCTCAACCAAGGGAACTGAAGCATGGGTTCATAAGCTCAAGTCTCTCTCTCTCTCTTTCTAAAAATAACTTAGCATCGTTATTGACAATTATGCCCTGGAACAGAAGGGTATAATTGACAAATTGTTTGGGTTTTTTTAATTTTCTATTTATAGGTGGGATGGGCTCCAAGCTTTTATGAGGACAGGGAGAACCCCTCTTTACTGTGGAAATGACAGAGATAAAACCAAAGGATTTACAAAGTCTTACAAAAATCTTCACTTCTATTGGATTCTTGGAGCTGGCCACTTCGTAAGTTGACATTTTCTTTCTTATTTTTACCCTTCCATCTAAATTTTAATCTCATTGCACACATTTATATATATATATATATATATATATATATATTTTTTTTTTTTGGTTTGATAACGATTACTTTTTTTAAAAAATTATGTTTGTTTTGATACAATTTATTTGGTATATCAATATATTTATTACGTATTAAAAATACCTTTGGACTGTTATTTGAATTTAAAAAATTAAATTTATCAAAGAAAAAAGTTACGTAAACATTAATTTCACCAGTGTTTCTTTGTTTTGTTTTGCACTTACTTTTTAAGAAAGAAAATTCAATTTTTAGCCCAACTTTTGAAAACTAAAGAAATCATTTTTATTTTTGAATTTTGGCTAAAAGTTGTAATGTTTTTTTTTTTGAGACAAGGTGAAAAGATAAAAAAAAAAGAGCAAATCAGTTTATAATTTAAAATAATAGAAAACGAAAAATGAAATAGTTACTGCATCTACATTTATTTAGTTTTCAGAAGTTTAACTTATATTTTGAAAATATTTTTAAAAAACAAATAAACAAGATAGAGATTTATATTGTTAAAAAAAAGTGGATAGAGATTTATGGACTTAATTTTTAAAAATCAAATGATTATCAGACTTTAGATATTAGATTTTATATATTTTCAGCATTAACGCTCATACTTTTTATCTTATATATATATATGTATTTTTTTTTTGTGAAAGGTATGCCTATTTATTAATATAGTACTCTTTCTAAAATCATGACCAAATTTAAAAAATTACAAAAAGTAAAGATTATTTCGTGGTATGTTTATTTTTTTAGTTAACATTTTTAGTTGTTTATCATTAGTTAAGAAAAAAACTTTTGATTTTTTATAATAATATTTCCATTTCCTTTGCAAAACAATAATAATATATAGTTTTTTTTTAGTACAAAACAATAATAATACTAATACTTAATAGTAGTAGTGTTCTCATTTATTTCTGTCCCAAATCAAATTAGTAATGTTGCTTCTCTTTACAATTACAAAGAACGGCCTCTTATTGTGACTTTATGACAACTGACAGGTGCCGGTTGACCAGCCGTGCGTAGCGTTGGATATGGTGGGAGCGATCACGCGGTCACCGGCTGCAAKTGAATACAAGTGAATGAATTAGCAGCAGACGCGTGGCAAATAGTAGCATGCCTTTCGGTTCTTATTTATTTACCATTTAAATTACATCAACTGCAGTACAGTCAAAATAATTGAGCTAGCAATTTACGTCTTCCTTCTTTTTTGAAGGAACAGTTTAATTTCAATCTGTATACAAATTTCAATAACATTTCTAGAAATTATTGCAAATAATAGAATATTTAGATCCATTTGAAAACAAAACTATTTTATTTGTTGTTTTCTGTTTATTAAAATTAAACTGTGTAAATTACTTTCATTTAGGTATATTTTCAAAATCTAGACTAAATGTAAAAAGAAAAAAAGAAAAGAAAGTTTTCAAAATATTTTTTTTATTGTTTTTAAAATTTAAGAATTTAAATACATTTCCAATAAAGCCGAAAAACTTACCAACAAAATTGTACAAATATAAACGGTGGTGGATCCATAATTTTCATTAAGGGGCACGCTACATATTAAAATCATGCTTGGCAATAAAGCAAGGTTTGTTGAGAGGTGAAATTCCACTCAAACACCATTGACTGTACTGAGTCAATCGTTTGAATATTAATGATATAAAGCGTTATGTCTACGRTAGCTATGGTAGTAGGTAAAATCAATAACATCTATTTTAGACCTATCATAATTACTATTACAACTCTTCTTTTTTGGGATCATTTGTTTTATCTTTTATAATATTTATCCATATTAAGTTAAATCTATGCAAAAGTGTGTATTAATAGTAAAATATTCAAGAATTAAAATATAAATTTAATAGTCTAAAAATAATTATAATCTTACCTGATATATTTTGACTCAAAACTAGTCCCTAGCTCTAAAATCAATAAAATAAAAAATGTGAATAGAAAACAAAAAAATTAGTTTTATTTATTCATATTTTATGTAAATAAAAGATAAATGATACGCTTTCTAGAATGTTGGAGATTAATATATTTTATTATTTTATTATTTTATTTTATGCATTCTTTGAAGGTAAAAGAAGAAAAAAGAAATAACAGTTCAATCGTAACTTTTCTTGCCAAACTACTTTATACAAAGTAAACTTARAAATATTAAATTTTAGGTAAGAAAAGATAAAATTAAATTTAAAAAATTAAATTTTTCTCATCTCATGACAGTTGAAAAAAGGTTTAAAATAACCTGAAATACCCGGGATTGGGCTCCACACAGTGGACCGAAATTGATGGGGTTGTGAGATCGGGATACTCAAGACTTTTAATTCGAACAATAATTTTTTTATTTGAAGAGTAAACTTTTTGTTTTCTCAAATCATTTAATTATTTATTTATCTGTATTCTTTTTTAAGTCAAATATAATCATAAAAATCAACAAATGTTTATTCATGCAAATTGGAGTCCAAATAAATGTAGTTTAAGTTTAGGAATGTTCGACTTTAGCTAAGAGCATTTCACACTCGTTGTGATTGAGAGTGATATACAAGTTTTTTTGAGAAAAAAAAAAACAACACTATGGTCAATTTGGTGACATTATTTATTGTTTCCAACATTTGGCAACTATTTATATTAATTTTATCGCTTTTTAGAAACATTCTTAAAATTATATATTCGGAGTCCTGTAAATATCGATAACTTTGAATTGTTTTATGGTGTTGTACGATTGTCTTATTCAAATTCTCTTATGATATAAGATCCTTTAACTCATTTTATTCTCCCAGAGAAGTTTCCTCCTCTTCTTATGTGCAATTGACTACTCCATTAGATACTATACTCGTCTATTGTAACTTCTTTGAATAAAGCTCAATTTCGTCCAAATGGAAACTCTTCATTTCCTGTACACCGTTACAACAATTACATCGAAGAATCTAAAAGGAATAATAGTTAAAAGCATCTTAAAAGTCAAACAACGAATTTAAATATGATAAAACAATGCAGACAAATATCACACAAGAACACTTAAAGTTTAAATTTTATATATAAAAAAACCAATGCAAAATATATAATCCAATATTTTAGGTATGTTTGATAACTATTTTTTTTATTGTTTGTTTTATAATGGAAGCTCGGGTTTACTACTTGTACTCATGTATTTCTTTGTATTTAATTTATTGAAAACATTTTAAAAAAATAATTTTTTATTTTTAAAATTTAAATATGAGTCAACTGAGAACATAGTAAATTGTGAGCAAACAAATATTTTTAAAAAATGGATACCAGCACACTTATATTTGGTTTTTTGTTTTTGTTTTTGTTTTTAATATGGTTCACGATATTAGTCTAACCCAATGCCAACAAATAATTTGTGTTTGAATCAATTCCTATGATTTTACCCAACATTGTAACTATTAATCTTATTAGGGAATGGTGTGCATTTCGTCAAATTATTAATTTTATTAGAGAATGGTGTGTATCTGTCTAAAATAATAATAAAATAATATTAATAAAAGAAAAAGTGTATCTTCCCACGGTCTTATTATTAATTTTAAGGGCAGTTTATTATCAAGAACGAAGATCTCTGACATTTACAGATGCTTGAAATTTCAAATGTCCAAAATTTTATATGTCTTTAGATAGTAACATTTATTTTGTAATAAAATTTATAAAGATGTCCGAAAATATTTGGAGGGTCAAAATTTTTCTTATAAATGTGTTAAATTTAAAAAATAACTTACGAATATTTATATAACACATTCATTTAATATAATACTATATTTTTATATTAATATTTATATGTTATTTTATACCACAAATTAACTCATATTAATTTTATTTTTTAAACAATAATAATTTTATTTTTAAATTTAATATTTTTCTAAAAAGAAAATTATATAATTGGTATTATGTAGGGTGAAATTTATTTATCTTATTATCACATTATATTTAAAATAAAAATAAAAATATCACACCTTAGTCTTAAAAAGAAGTTGATTTGAAAATATCTATTTATGATAATAAATATTAATAATAATATAATTCATCCAAAATATTAAAAATAAATAATGACATTATATAATTTAATTTCGATCTATATATATGAACATATAAAGTACAAATATACGTAATTTCATAAAGCTCTTTATTAAACAATGTGTATATTATTTTATTTAAATTATAAATTATAAATTTTAAAATAAAAAATATATAATATCTTTTAGAAAATATAGAGAAATTTGATGAAATTTATATATGAAAGAAAATGAAAAGAAACAATGTTAATAATTGATGTCCTCAACGCTGAAATTTTAAAAATTTATGTTTAAAAAGACATTCAAAACATGTTAGATGCCTCCCGTCTGGACATCTCGAGACAAACAGACTCCTTAKTATTTTGCGACGATAAATACTTTATTGAAAAACCTAATGCACAAATAATAAAATCAAAACTTAACAAAAAAAAAAGAGAGAGATAAAGTTGGGAAAATAATTAAAATATTAGATACTAAATTATTATAAGTTTGATCTCTAAACTTTATAATGTTTTAAAAACCTTAAAAATTCGAGCATTGTGTTTAACATGACTAAATATTGTTTAATAGGCACATGAAGTTTCAAATGTTATCTTCGATATATCTCTAAATTGTTATTTTTATGTCTAGTAGATAGATGATTTATGATACAAATCTTGAAGTTTGTCGATATATTGGATATAAAATTTGAAGTTTAGATATCTATTAGACAGTTTTTGAAGTCAAGAGATTTATTAGACATAATATTTAAACTTTAGAAATTATAGATTAAACAATTTTAAAGCTTAGAAAATTATTAGACGAGTAGCTAAAGTGAGCATAACTTAACGGTAATTGATATATATCTCAAATCAAGAGGTAGTGAATTCGATCCCTCACATCACATATTGTACTAAAAAAAGAATTATTAGACGATAGTTTATCTGAACATGGTTAAGTGAATAAAGACATTTTGATGGTTCGATCATTATCACTATCATTTTTAATTGGTTAAAATGCCATTTTGYRCGCTCAGACACTCACGAATATATATAAAAATTAGAACAATATAGAAATTAACATGAATTAAAATTGACACTACAAAATATCCCGGATGAAAAAAGAAATTTAAATTTAATTAAAAAAGGGAAAAAAAGGTATAAAATAAAAAAATGGTTGCTCAAACTCAAAGCCGTCGCCGACTCGCGCCGCTGAAGTCAGCCAAGAGACTGGAGAGTTCCCAAAGTCTACGACGAAGTAACGAATAAACACAACAAATTAATAACAAAATTAACAAAAATTTTACATCACACGCGCGCGCGATCGAACCACGCGCATCGTCTTCCTCCCGAGCACTCCTTGAGATTTTCTGGGATTCACTTGTCGATTAACACAGATTAATTGGGAGTTGGAACCTGATCTATGTAGATTCACCGGATCAAATTTCGGAGGAGTCGTATCGCATCAAATGTGCGGCACAGGGCGGCTCAAACTTGTAAACCTGATGTGAAATGCAGCCAAATCTGTTTCCATTTGGCAGTGTTCTCGGAAACCCTTTGGCGTTTGATGGTGATTTGAGCGAAGGATTCCCGACTTCCAGGTTTCTCTTCTTTGTTCCCTTCTTTTTGCTGCAAGGTGGTGGGATGGACTTGTCCAGGGTCGGGGAGAAGATTTTGAGCTCGGTCAGGTCAGCTAGATCGCTTGGACTTCTTCCTGCCACTTCTGATCGTCCGGAGGTAAGTGATTGTACTATTGCCTCTCGTTTTGGCTGATGTTAGGTAGCAGCAGTTGAGTTGGGTTTGATTGAATTGATGGTTATAGGTTCTGAGGCGTGCTTTTAAATTAAATTGAAGCACCCTTTAGCTACAATATTCTGCTCCACTGGTTAATGTCACTGGTTGGTCATAGAGACAATCAACTGGTTATGTATGCAACTTGATGATTTGGGTTGCAGAACACGTAATTTGATGAATCCACTTACCACCAGACACCCTTTTATTGAAGGTTGACAAATTGTGGATCGTATTCTTATTGCAAATGACGTTTTGGAAGACCGGGAAAAGAAAAAGGTCAGAGGGTGAATTTTTCAAATAGATCTTGAAAAAGCATATGATATGGGGGATTGAGATTTTCTCTAGGCTATTTTGGAGAAAAAGGTCCGGTAGTAAGTGGATAAGCTGTATAAGAAGGTGCACTTTGGGAGGACCTTACTTTAAGAAGGTGCACTTTGAGAACCATGTTTTCCTTAATGAAACACTAAGGGGGAGGGTGAAGGTTTCAAGATGTCTTAGGCAAAG